GCTCGTTAGTGGTGGATTTATACTGGACTGTCTGCATGTCATTCCACTTTGTTGTTCTGTGATGCACCTCCAGCATTACTGCATTAATGCAGTCTAGAAGGGTGCTTTTGAACTGGACCCGGAAAGTGGTTGGCAGCCAGAGCAGTTGGGCCAGGATTGGTTTTCAGTGCTCAAGCCGTCTTGCCCCGGTGAGCTACCTAGCCACCAAATTCTGCACCAGAAGGATTGCGCTGGATGGACTAATAGTATAATGAATAGTTTAAGAAATATGCTACATACTATATTCCTAGTATAAGGAATCATCATGTATGTAGCTCAGGCGGAGCCAACATGGTGCCCTCCATATGCTGCTGGGTTTTGATTCCCATCATTCCTGACCATTGGGCAAGCTAGCAGTGGCAGATGGAAGTTGTTGTCTATAACTTCTGGAGGACACCAGTCTGGCAACCCAATGTGGCTGAACACACAGCTTTGGTGTTGGTCTATGTCTCTGGACTTGTCAACAGAAGGTTAGGCTTTGCTCTTTGGCTTTGCCTTTTAAGGGTCAGGGTTTTTGTTTTTGTTTTTTGGGAGCTGGCAGCCCAACATTTAGGTACAGTGGTGCCTCGCAAGACGAAATTAATTCGTTCCGCAAGTATCTTCGTCTTGCGGATTTTTCGTCTTGCGATGCACGGTTTCCCATAGGAATGCATTGAAAATCAATTAATGCGTTCCTAGGGAAACCGCCTTCAGACCAGGTCCGGGGACAGTCTGTCCCCCGACCTCTTCTGAAGGCTGGGGGGGGGGAACAAGGGCTTTTCTTCCCACTGCCAGCCTTCAGAAGGCTGTTCTGAAGGCTGGCGGTGGGAAGAAAAGCCCTTCTTCCCACCTCCCGCCCCGCAAGCTCCGGGGACAGGAGGGCTTTGCTGCCGACCGCCAGCATTTTAAAAGCCCCTGCTGTCCCGGGGCGATTTTAAAATGCTGGCGGGCGGGAGCGAAGTCTCCGCTGCCCCGAGGAGATTTTAAAATGCTGGGGGTCGGCAGCGAACGCTTCGCTCCTGCCCGCCAGCATTTTAAGATCGCCCGGGGCAGCGGAGAAGTCTCCGCTGTCCCGGGAAGGCAGGCGGGGGGAGCAAAGACTTTTGCCCCCGCCTGCCTTCAGAAGAGGTCCAGGACCTCGTTCCGATGCCCGGCGGCGGGGTGAGAGGTTCCCGCCCCCCCGCCCCACTTCGGAGCAGCGTTCCGAAGCGGGGCGGCTGGGGCAGGTGTTCCCGCCCCCCCGCCCCGCTTCGGGGCAGCGTTCCGAAGCGGGGCGGCTGGGGCAGGTGTTCCCTCCCCCCCGCCCGGCTTCGGAGCACCGGGAGAAGCGATCTCCCCGCAGCCCCTTGCTTCAAAAGAGGTCCGGGGGCAGCGGGAAGCGCTTCCCGCTGTCCCCGGACCTGGGGCTGCGGGGAGAAGATCGCTTCTCCCCGCCGCCCCTTGCTTCAAAAGAGAAGACCTGCTGTCCCCTGGGCAAGCTTCGTTTTGCGAAGCAAGCCCATAGGGAAATTCGTCTTGCGAGGCAACTCAAAAACGAAAAAACCTTTCGTTTTGCGAGTTTTTCGTCTCGCGAGGCGTTCGTCTTGCGGGGTACCACTGTACTGTTTCAAAGTGAGCATGCCTCTGGTTAGAAGTTGCTGGTGTGTGGATTTGTGGATCTCATTGTAGACTCCCAAAGAGGTAGAATTCTGGACTAGATATTGTGTCTGATCAAGCAGAACTGTTCTAATGTTTCTTTTGTGCAGTAGGCACCTCCCACTTAAAAGTGTTCCAAATGTTTGTTTTAAATTTCTCTCTGCACCTTTGCGCCTTTCCTGAATCTGAGGCAGTTTACCAGGATATGTGTACACAAACATACATACATACATGCATACATACATAGAGCCATCTTTGCGAATTTGTCCCTGGGTCCTCAGCTGTAGTGATGTGAGGTGGAAGAAAGTATGTTTCATAAGTTAATTAGTAAGGATGAATGGATGCCAATTGTAGATACAATAGGAAGCAAGCTTGGCAGTTTCAAAGTTGCAGTTAATGTGGTTTTCCCCACCCCCGATGATTGCCCCATGTGTGCTTTAATTTTTGCCTCAGACATTTCAGGTCAAATACTTGTGGTATATTGGGACAGAAAATGTTGTTGTTGTTGTTGTTGTTGTTGTTGTTGTAGTTAATCATATATTTATATTTGTCAGTTGCTTTATACAAAAGTCTCAAAGCAACTTACAGTGGTACCTCAGGGTTACAGACGCTTCAGGTTACAGACTCCGCTAACCCAGAAATAGTACCTCGGGTTAAGAATTTTGCTTCAGGATGAGAACAGAAATCGCGCGGTGGCGGTGCAGTGGCAGTGGAAGGCCCCATTAGCTAAAGTGGTACCTCAGGTTAAGAACTGTTTCAGGTTAAGAACGTACCTTGAGAACGAATTAAGTTCTTAACCCGAGGTGCCACTGTAATAGACAACAAACAAAACCGTTTGAAAATGAACGTGGAGTACTCCCCCCCCCCACTTTCATTTACTAAATGCAAATAAAATACAGTGGTACCCCGCAAGACGAACGCCTCGCGAGACGAAAAACTCGCAAAACGAAAGGTTTTTTCGTTTTCGAGTTGCCTCGCAAGACGAATTTCCCTATGGGCTTGCTTCGCAAAACGAAGCTTGCCCAGGGGACAGCGGGTCTTCTCTTTTGAAGCAAGGGGCGGCGGGGAGAAGCGATCTTCTCCCCGCAGCCCCAGGTCCGGGGACAGCGGGAAGCGCTTCCCGCTGCCCCCGGACCTCTTTTGAAGCAAGGGGCTGCGGGGAGATCGCTTCTCCCGGTGCTCCGAAGCCGGGCGGGGGGGAGGGAACACCTGCCCCAGCCGCCCCGCTTCGGAACGCTGCCCCGAAGCGGGGCGGGGGGGCGGGAACACCTGCCCCAGCCGCCCCGCTTCGGAACGCTGCTCCGAAGCGGGGCGGGGGGGCGGGAACCTCTCACCCCGCCGCCGGGCATCGGAACGAGGTCCTGGACCTCTTCTGAAGGCAGGCGGGGGCAAAAGTCTTTGCTCCCCCCGCCTGCCTTCCCGGGACAGCGGAGACTTCTCCGCTGCCCCGGGCGATCTTAAAATGCTGGCGGGCAGGAGCGAAGCGTTCGCTGCCGACCCCCAGCATTTTAAAATCTCCTCGGGGCAGCGGAGACTTCGCTCCCGCCCGCCAGCATTTTAAAATTGCCCCGGGACAGCAGGGGCTTTTAAAATGCTGGCGGTCGGCAGCAAAGCCCTCCTGTCCCCGGAGCTTGCGGGGCGGGAGGTGGGAAGAAGGGCTTTTCTTCCCACCGCCAGCCTTCAGAACAGCCTTCTGAAGGCTGGCAGTGGGAAGAAAAGCCCTTGTCCCCCCCCCCCCAGCCTTCAGAAGAGGTCGGGGGACAGACTGTCCCCGGACCTGGTCTGAAGGCGGTTTCCCTAGGAACGCATTAATTGATTTTCAATGCATTCCTATGGGAAACCGTGCATTGCAAGACGAAAAATCCGCAAGACGAAGAGACTTGCGGAACGAATTAATTTCGTCTTGCGAGGCACCACTGTAAACGTGCTGAGGTGGATCACTCATGAGGGCAGAATCTCTGGCCCACAGTCCTAGTTTGATCTAAGTAGTCTCTGGATTTAGCCAACAAGGCCATTTTGGACAAACTACAGCTGCCTGTGACTTTCAGTCACCTGACACCAGAGACACCAGCAAAGTGCTGAGGTCCCACGGCACTAAGGTTGTAGATATGCCCCTGCTTGCTCCTTGATAGTAAAAGGGAGGAGCAGAAGCTTATATCTGAACTTAGCCCTGTGGGATGTCACTCGAGTGCTAAGATCGGACATAAGTCTGTCTCTCTTCTGTGGCTTGAGGTTTGATGTCAGGTGATTTACAGGTGAGTGGCCCCAGCCACCTGTCAAAAATGGCCCACAGAAGATGGTCCAGTTCTGGATGTGGTTCCCACTTGATTCACTAGGGTATCAGAACGTTTTCAGATAAAACCTGAATTGTTTCCAGTACTATTACCCTGTGAAGATTACCCTAAATTCCCATTCAAAATTTCCAGTTCAAAATTTTGCAGAAATCCCACATTACTGTACTACTTTGCTGTCCACTGCAGCTTTGGCCAAGCCACTTAGGGAAATTCTATCTTGCAGTGTTTTATGTCTTGGAGCCTTATTGTTCAAACTGATCAAATAGCCATATGAGCAGAGCTTCCAGATGTTGCTCCTTTTTGGCTAGGCTTTCAAATTGTGTCATAATGCAGTCACAGCTTCCATTTTTAACTATTGCTTCTGGACTCAGGACGACTTTTTAGTTTATTTTTCCCCTACTCCACCCTTCTTGCATTTTATAAAGAGAAAAAGTCCTTGGGTGTGCCTCTTCTTTTGAATTGCCTTGTGTTTTAAAATGCTAACAGTTATAAATGGTGTGTGCATTGCTTGCGCTGTTGGAAACACAATTTTTATGAGTGCAAAACAGCCTTTGTGATATGTGAATGTCACATTGCAGTTGTGTTTTGCTTTCTTAGTTGACTCCTTATCAGGTTAGCAGTCAGGGATGCTGGCAGTCAAGAAAAAAAGATTTCGAAAAGTATGCAAAAACCTGTTTTGAGATTTAGATGGCAAAACAAAGAAGTGTGGCTGTATCTAATGCTAGTCTTAGCAGACCCCCTGAAATTAATGAACATGACTAACTTGGGTTCGTTAATTTCAGTGGGTGGCATTCAACCAAGTTTTCCTCAGAGCAGACCCATTGAAATGGATGGACCTTACTTAAGCCATAGCCATTCATTTCAATGGGCATGCTCCAAGTACCGGTAATACTTCATTGAATGCCACCCAATGGGTCTACTCTTGGACTAGCATTGGATAGTACCCATGGTGTACTTTCTTTGGAAGGGAGAATTTTCAAAAGGCCACCAGGAATAGAATGTGATGTTCTTTTAGATCTAATTTTAACATGTCTTTCTTTCAAACTTCCTTAGGGCGAAGGCTGCCGTACTGTCCCTCTTTCTGGCCATGTAGGATTTGACAGCCTTCCTGACCAGCTGGTTAATAAATCGGTTAGCCATGGTTTCTGTTTCAACATCTTGTGTGTGGGTGAGTACAACACTTCTTCCCCCCTTTCCATTTTTGGAAAATTCTGTTGCTGAATGAAGGTAAACTTGCCTAACAAAGTAATCCTTTGACTTATCCAGAACACACATTATGTGTTGTCATCTGATCCAGTTTTTAACAACAGATAAACAAGGATCACTGCCTCTTTGGGTGGTCTGAAGATGATGAGGTGGGATGTGTTGTGTTTTGCTGCGACAAATGAGCAAAAGCACAGAGGTTTACACTGAAGGCGTGTAGGATTTGTTGACTTGGGATGTGATGTTCTTTGATGGAAAATCAGCTGGGTGGCTTGTTTTTAAGCCCGTTGTTGCTGGAAAGAATAGACACACAGAGGTTCTTCCAAATGTAATGCTGTTGCTGTGAGTTTGCTAGCTCCAATGATGTACCTTCATTTAAGTTTGATTTGGGCATCCCCCACCACATGATTAGTTATCACATGGAAGAGTGAGAACAAGGCTGTGTTAGATGGTCTCCCTGTGTAACCAAATTTTGCATGATAGCTCCTGAGGAGCAGCTAGTCACCTGTGTTTTGGATACAATTGGGTGCTCTTTTATATCAAGGTGGCAGACTGAACCTTTCAGAGCTGTACCAATTTTAATCACGTTTTGCAAGATGGTTCCGGAGATGAAGGAGAGGTTCTTTATCTATGTTGGGACACAATTGGACACCATTTTGAACCAAGCTGGCATTCTGTTGTATCCAGACATGGATTTAAAAAAAAACACCCTGCTTTTTGATCTCTGGAACTGTGCATTGGATGAATTTGTCTGCAAAGGGGAGCTTGCTCTACATGTGTTGCCTTCCTCTCTGATCAGGGTTCCACATCACAGCGGGAGCTTGAAGTTCACAGAGCAGGCTTTCTCTGCAGATATGCCACCCCTAGATAAAACAGCAGATGAAGAGAGAGAGAACTGATTCTGGACTGCACAACATCAGTTATTGGTGGGGAAGTTGCACAGTTGAAAACCCTGGTTGAATTGGGTCTAAATGATCTGTTTCTGACTATGCACCTTCTTGAGCAGCTTGACAAAAAAAGGGGGATGTTGGTGACTGGGCTTTAGTCGTTTACCACTTCTGGGTTCAGGGAGGACCCCTTAAGCAGCAGGTAGATCTCAGCATCCTTGTGGCCTGGGGGAAACTCCCTTCTTTCTGCTCCTAATTAAATATCTCCCGCCTGCTTTTTTCCTGATCGAAACTGCCACCAACTGACAGCTGCTGTTAGGCCTGCTGAGGGAAATACTACAGATCCTACAGATCCTTGTATTATGCCTATATTCCTTCCTACAGAAGGGCTTTCAGCAGCTTTGAGGGATTTGGATTTACATTCGTAAAACAGCATTTTTTTGGGGGGGGTAGTTAAATATCTCCTTCTGCTCTGATGAAAACTGAAGCTGCTTTAAAGTAAATCAAGTTAGGAGAGCTGATAATGGATCTTCTGCACCGTGTTTGCTGTAACACATTTATTGTGTGTGTTTGTATTTCTGGGATGGGGTGTTGTGCATAAACCCTGCATGTTGAAAGGTTGAGCTCGACTTGCTGATTGCCTTTGTAGGAAGCTGCCGAGTTGCTATATGTAACTAGGTGACACGCTCTCTTGACGGTGCTCTAGTTTCAAGGTAATGCTAATAGACAATGGCAGGTGTGCTAGAAGGAAAATTCCATAGTTCAGGAAGCAGTGCTGTTGTGGTACATTTTGAAGTTGGGGAGCAGCTCAAGACAGTCCTCCCCCACCAACCATGCCACTACCCCAAGGAGTCCAAAAACACAGGCAGCTGTATTGATCCATGCAAGACCAGTCCAATACATTTTGACACTTGAGGCAAACCATGAAATGGTGCCTGTTGCCAGGGAATAAGGGGTGAGTGAAGTTCTACAAGGGGGTGGGGGCAGGAATAATGATCTAACATTGGGAACAAGGGTGGGAGGAGAGCAGCAGTGCCTCCTATTCGCCAAGAGACCATGGTAGAAGTCATGGGGGGGGGGATCCAGCCTCCAAGGAGTATGTTGCAGCCACCAGTGGCATTGCAGCAGCAGCAGCAGCAGCAGCAGCAGCAGCAGCAGGTGATGGATTCCTTGGAAGCCAGATCTACCATCCCTGTGGATCCTGTTTAAAGCATTGCCCCCCAACACCCTCTTTTCTGTTTTAAGGCTCCTCTCTCTCTCTCTCTTTTAAAAAAGATTACACTTCTTTAAAATCAACAATAAGCTCAGTTAGAAAGAAAAATAATAATGGTAAGTACCCGCTGTTAAGGATTCAAACAATAAGCGTTGTTGTTTTTTTTATAGAAAGGAAGACATTCTAGAGAATAGATTTGAGCTGATTCCAGTACTCGTTGGGTAACATGCCCTGCAGTGTTGGGGCCACAGCTAGAAAGGCCCCACTTCAGCCATTCAATTTGTCATGGCCTCTTCTGATAACAGCAGAGGACATGAGGGCTGACATTGAGAGAAGCCTTTCCTTCCCTAAGGTATTAATGGACTCAGATGACGCAAGGCTTTCAAACTAGAAGCAGGACTTTGAGCTAGAAATCTGCCTGTGAACATGGCTTTTGTGGCTTCTCCTCTGCCAGGAAGTGAGCTGCTATTTCTGCACCAACTGTAGCTTCTGAACCACACAGAGCACATTGCAGTAGATGGCCTTTGAGGATGCATGCTTGCAGGCACGGAGCCCTTTGATCTAGGAGAGGCTGCAGTTTCCAAACCAAATTGTTGTCAAATGCTTCTTGCTGCAGCTGCTGCCAGACCTTCTAGATCAGGGCTGGTGAACCTTGGGGTGGGGAAGATGATAGATGCTGCTGGACACTAACTCCCATCAGCTCTAGCCAGCATGGCCAGTGGTCAGACACCTGATGCCATATGACATTAGGAGCAGAGATCTCCAATCAAAGCACTGAGGTCCCACAGCGCTAAGATCAAAGATATGTCCTTGTTCGCTCCTTGAGAGTGAAAGGGAGCTTCAGATTTATACTCCCAACAATATCTGAAGGGCCACAGGTGCCCCATCCCTGTTCTAAACTCAGCAGCTGGATGCCAGTAGCATGCCTAGATTTCAGTCCTGATTAGCTAAGGGGCATGAATTGACACCATTAATGTTTTCAGGGAAGTCCTAGAACATCTGCTTTACATGCAAGTCCCAGGTTCAGCCCCTTGCATATTGAGATAGGACTGGGAAGGTCTCCTGCCTGAAACGTTAGAGAGACATTGCCTGTCAGTGAGGACAGTATTGAGCTTGATAGACCAATTGCCTGACTTAGTATAAGGCACTTTCCTGGGCTCATTCCAGTTCTCTCTCTTGACTGCTGGAGAACAGTGCAGCACAGTCTCTGTCAGCTTTGGGAGTTGAGAGTTGCCTTGCGCTGAGTCAAACCACCCAGCTTGCTGTTGTCTGCACTGCCTGACAACCGGCTTTCTAAGGTTTCAGACAAGGTTTTCCCCAGCCCTACCTGAAGGTGTTGGGGATTAAGCTTGGGACCTTCTGCATTCAAAGCAGGTGCTCTACTACTGAGCTACTGCCCTTCACTGATATTTTTCAGATCCTTCTTCAGAACCTGTTATGGTCAAGCAGTTGTTGAAATTTAGTTGATTATTATTGATAGCTTCCACTATGAAAGCGAGCAATATATAGTGAAGCAATTGAAAGTGGTACAAAAAAGGCATTTAAGCAAGCTTTATTTTTGGAAGCCGCAAGTCACCTTTGATGGAAATTGGAGAAACATAAATTCTTTCTCTTCTGCATTTCCCCCCCCTTCTGAACCCAATTGGATGCAAGCCTGCTCTTTTGATTACATTTTGTTCCAATTACATTACAAACAAAAGTCTTTGAAATCATATCAGAGAGCTTAAAGTAGCTGCTTTCTAGATTTCGTAGCAGAAAAATATTTCTGTACTTGATAGGAAATGCAGAAAATGTAGAGCTTGGCAGAAAGCAGAGTGTTCTCTGAGGCTCAGTGCATTAATAAAAAAAGGTTAGGCATTGCCTATGAACACTTTACTTCTGTTTAGATATTGGTTGCCAACCAGGCTGTGATACTATGACTTGTAAAAGGTTTGCAAACTAAGATTGGGGGTTAAGTATTTCATCTACACTGAACATATCCTGGTTAAATTGTTTGTTTATTTATTAAATGTATTACTTGCTCTTTTTGCCATGGCAGCTCAAAGCAACTTATAGTATTTTAAGCAAAAAACAAACACATTCATACATTAAAATCAGCATTTTAGAAAATCTAAAATACAATTATATATAAATTTAAAAACAACTACATCTCACCCATGCAAAAAGTCTATAGGTAGTTAAAAGTCAAAGGCCTGATGGAAGAGGAATATTTTTGCCTGGTGCCTAAAGATATGTAATGATGGTGCCAGGTGAGCATATTTGGAGAGAGCATTCCACAAGGAGAATGCCAGTATTGATAGGGCTGGTTCTCTTGTTACCCTGCCTCTCCATCCTTTCTGTTTATAAGGTGGCTAGTCTTGCTGGTGTCTTTCTGTACACATCCTCCAGGGCAGGGCTTTGTTCAGTAAACTAAACCTTGGTTTCATTGTCCATTTGTGATCTTAACCAGGGTTAAAGCAACAAACTACGGTTAGCACTAACCAAGGTTCAGCATTCCAGGTCATATGGCACTGGTAATACAGTTTTGGTAAACGAGACTCACTGCCTTCCTGTTGAGTGAATTATGCACATAAAATTTGACTGCCTTGTGCAGTTTTTAATGTGCTGTCTGCCCTGTTTAGTTGGAAAGAAATCTGAAGGGAGTTGACAGCTGCGCTTCAGCTATTACCTTCGGTGGACAGGAGAGCAACCCACTTTCCCATTAGCCTGGAATTCTGTTACAGGCTAACAGTGGTGTCCCCCCAGGGGATTTAGTAAATACAAGGTTGTCCATTCTGATACTTCGTTTTAAAAACCAGTGAGGACCTGTCATGGCCCTCAAAGCACTAACCTGATCTTACCAGTCGTTTATAAGCAGGAGGAAAC